TTTTTCGAAACAGAAAAATATGGGACAAGTGGCTTATGAACCATTACTGCTTGATCTCTCTCTCTCTTTACAACAGGTTCTCCTATTTGCACATCCCTTCCCCTTTTTTTTTTGTGGATAGCTTGCCCCCTTTTACGCATATAAACCATGAAGTGAATAGACTTTTTGCTTTTTTTTTTTCTTTTTTAAAAAATAATGTCTTGTTGTCAAAAGTAATAATAGTAATAATAATCACACACAAACATCTTGTTTAATTTTCTGGGCTAATAGGCAAGGTCAAGTGTATCTTGTATTTACGAATTTTTTATTTTTTATATTTGGATGTGCCTTGTTATCCTTTGGGATGATGGCTATACATCTAAAGATTAGCGTTGCCATGCTGATTCCTATCAACATATTGAAAAGTATGACATTTACTTTACACTTCTTTTTTTCGTTTATTCATACTGTATGTAGTGATAAGCATATTAGGCATCATTCTCGTCTTTACGTCGCTCATTGGTCTATTGGGAAGTTTCTATCGGGAAAGAAGATCACTTCATATCTTATGCACAACAACAGTCGTCATAGCATTTCTGTATCAGGTCTCAATTGCTATCATGGTCTATAACCAAGCTGCTCATACAACTAGCTGGCTTAGTGAAGCATGGGCAGAGTCATCAGTGGATTATAGACTCTATGCACAAACAAAGGTAGTTTTTGCCTCCTTTTTTTCTGGTTTATTAATATTTCTATCAAGCTTCATTGCTGTGGATTCACTGGACCATCTGACCACCCAGTACCAAGTCCTACCTGTGTACCACATCAACTAACAAACTCAGAGCAGCCCTGTCGTGACCCTATGAACCAGTACATGAGAGGAGAATTGACACACATTTACATTGTGTTGTTTACTAGTCTTGCTATAGAGATACTAGCTTTGTGTAATTCTATCACCCATTTGTGTACAATGAACCCAACCCGCTCTTGGGAAGTCAGTCCAGAGCATGTAGAACAGAGGAAATATGCTAGTATGAACGAGTATAATGCCTCTGCTGCTACATTGGTCAATCCAGTTTATTCAAAATATAAAAGACAATTCTAGGCCAAAATAATAAAATGTCACCTTTGTTATACATGATTTAGACATCTCTCTATTTTATATCTTCCAAAGATGTAGCACGTGATCATAAAATGAACAAGTCGCAACCAGATCAGAGTCCCGATATGACCAATCTGCACCATACACCATCGATGTATGATCTAGAAAACTAGTTGAAATACTAGCATCATACTGACTGGTGTCAACGTCCAATACAAATGCTCCTGCATGCATGGATGCAGATAATAGCTTATTTGGGCAATGAGGGTGCCACTTTAGTCTCCAGATACCTCCTCCTGGTGTTTGAACACTATTGATGGGCGCTCGCATAGAGCGTGTGTCCCAGAAATAAATTGTTTCATCATAGCTTCCAGTGGCCAATAGATATTCTTGATGAGGCGAAGATTGCATGGTGGTGATACCCATCGTGTGTCGTTTATAGGTAAATGCAGGTGTGCATGAACGCGTATCCCAGCCCTTGAATAGTCCATCGTCTGCTCCAGAGTAAAGAATGTTGGTGTTCCAATAGTCAAATGCAACAATCCAAGTCTCAAGATCATGAGCATGCCATTGTTCTTGAATGGTATAATTCGTTTCTGTTGGAGACAAGATGCTAATGTCTCCATTCGAGTGAGATGTAGCAACTCTTTTATCGTCATGACGTCTTCCTGCCCAATCTAAGGAAAGACAGAGTATGGACTGATCCTCTGTTACTTGAACATGATCCACTTTAGCTAATGACTCATGATTGAATCCATACAAGTGGAATCCACCTATTGAATCCACTATACCCAAAACAGGTTGCTCATTCACCAGAGAGTGACTCCATTTCATATCCAAAATAGCAGCTGTCTCGATCACTTGCTTGGGAGTATCAAGTTGTTGCTGAGAAAGGTCAAAGAGATATACTTTGCCCTTTCGAACGCGAACATTATCTTGTTGTTCATCTGTTAGTTGATATGTTCCAACTGTAAGGTACTGATTATAATCATTCAAAGGGCAAAACTCAGCAGAATCTGCACTATAGTCTGTATCAAACGAAGCAAGTGAACAGGCACGAGACATGAAAGAAAAGAAAAGAAAAAAGACAAGAAGAGCGGGGGTCTTTTTTTTATTTCCCTTTGTTTTTTCTATTATAATACACACACACATACATACATTCTCTCTTTTTTTTTATAAAACCTTGGCTTCATTACGTAACTTGTCAACTAATTCATCAACACTCTCAACCTTACGACCACCGGCACGCTTAGGAGGTTCCTCAACCTTGAGTGTTTGAAGACGAGGTGAGATATCAACACCAAGATCTTCAGGGGTAAACTTAACCAAGGGCTTCTTCTTTGCCTTCATGATGTTGGGAAGAGAAGCATAGCGGGGTTCATTCAATCTATAAAAAGCACAATGAGTCTCTTTTTATGCGCGTCAATAAAAGCACATACCGTAAATCAGTTGTGATAACAGCAGGTAATTTAGTAGACACTGTCTCAAGACCACCATCGATTTCACGTACAACCTTGAGTGACTTGTCATTAATATCCACTTTAGAAGCGAATGTGGTCTAACAAACACCATTAAATTTATGCGTGGGAAAAATTCACTTATACATACCTGTGGCCACTTGAGTAACCCAGCCAGCATCTGTCCAGTTTGACTAGCGTCATCATCAATGGCTTGCTTACCCAAAATGAAAAGATCTGGCTTGTTCGCTTCTTTATCAGCCAAGGCCTTGAGTAATTTAGCAACGGCCAAAGGCTCAAGCGTGCTGTCATCCTTTACTTCAATATGGACAGCACGGTCAGCTCCCATGGCTAAAGCAGTTCTTAACGTCTCTTGAGACTTGGTAGTACCACATGAAATAGCAACCACTTCAGTCTTGGGTGATTTTTCCTTGATACGAACAGCTTCTTCAACAGCAATTTCATCAAAGGGGTTCATACTGTGCTTTACATTGCGGTCGACATCTGTCTTTGTTGCGTTCACACGAACCTTGACAGCTACACAAGAGAGTGAGTGATAATTACTACAAGGAGAAAGACGTACCATAGTCAACAACACGCTTAACAGGGACAAAGATACGTAAAGGATTAGACATGATTTATATTAAGAAAAAAAAGAGAGAGAAAAAAAGATAAAAAAAAGGAGAGAGTGTAGATTAAATACAAGTTGTGACATCGACATCAGTTATTCCAACCTTGAACGGGGGGTGAATTTAGTAAAAAAGAGATTTAATATTCACATGCAGCCAATTTCTCATCAAGCACACAAATGAATCATGATTGGGTAAAAATGTGTGCCTGAAATGCTAAAAGAGATCTTTTTATTCATGATTTATTTTATATCCTTTATTTAATTAATTCTCTTGGATTTGTCTTTCCAAAGCTTTTCACGTAAAAGATATTTTTGGGTTTTTCCTATATCAAAGTAAGTATATGAATAACTCCCCTTTAATGATTTCATGCTTACCAGTACTACAAGAATTAAAAAATGTATGTTAATATATGCGTTTACAAGTAGATTATATATAAATAAAATATACCTTGTTTTTGGTAAACTATCGACAAATACAACAGAATCAGGACACTATCAGAAAAAAAAAAGGAAATTGTTAACAAAACACTCTTGTAGAAAGCATGCATCCCTACCTTATAGCCTGCCAACATATTCCGACAATGTCTCAAGACAGATTCAGCATCCAATGAGTTACCATCTTTTAATACAACAAAGGCAATTGGCCTCTCTCCCCATCTATCACTAGGAGCAGCTACTACGGCACTAAAGAAAAGGTGTGTACAACATGTGGATACAGTATCAATGCAATTTTACCATTCTGAAACTTCTTCAAGTTGAACAATGACGCATTCGACTTCGATAGAGCTTATATTTTCTCCACCAGAAACAATAACATCCTTACTTCGATCGACAAGTTCTATCGTTCCATCCGGATGTCTGACGGCAAGGTCCCCTGACCAAAACACGCCTCCTCTAAACGCCTTGGCAGTTTCTTCAGGATCATTGTAGTAACCTTTCATGACTACATTGCCGGTGAAACATACTTCACCCACCTCCTTACCATTAGGCATAACGTCCAAGCCTGTTTTTTGGTTCAACACGCGTGTTTCGTCAGAAACTGTAATATTATAGCCCTGCCTGGCTTGTCTCTTATATTGCTCTTCTTCAGTGTGATGAGCGATAGTTTCGATATCATAGGATAAAACCACTGGACCATAGACCTCTGTAAGACCGTATACTTGGGTAGGGTGTAGATTAAGATGACGCATTCGTTTAATCAAAGTGCTTGACAAGACAGATCCTAACGACAATAAGCAACTATACAGTACAGAGTATAGGATACTTACCACCGCTTAGTACTTTCACTGGATGGCTCAGCCTGACTGCATTTTTATTATTGCAGACTTCATTCTGGACAGTAGGTGCGCCGTTATAGTGTGTCACACCATGATTTACCAATAGCTTCCAAATAAGGTCGTAGTCCATTGTAGACAGCATGATCTGTGTAGCTCCTGCAGCTACGAGAGCCCAAGGAAAGTTCCATCCTATGCATTATATACATTAGAATTTCTATGTTACCAAATGAATAAAACAATTACCGTTACAGTGAAACATGGGCAATGTCCACAAATAGACTGTATTTACCGAAAGTGCGCATTGAACGATCATGCCCAGAGCTGCAAGATATGCACCACGGTACGTCACCATAACGCCCTTTGGACGGCCCGTTGATCCAGAGGTATAGTTGATAGATATGGTTGCATTTTCGTCATTCAAAAGAGGCATTTTATCCCATGCTACAAGAGATTTGCAATTCATGAGTAATTGCTCATAGGGGTCTATCTCGTTGTCATCGGTCACATCGATGATTCGGACCGAATTCGCAACAGACTGTGTTATCTTGTCTTTAAAGTCTCGCTGCAGGATGATCACTTTGGCTCCAGAGTGCTGGATAATATATTCTATTTCTTGTGCAGCTAATCTTGTATTAACGGGGACGATGATAGCGCCTACTGCTGGAATAGCATATGTTGCTTCAAGATTAGGTGGGATATTAGAACAGATAACTGCTACACGATCGCCTTGCTTGACATGGTATGTATTTATCAGCACGGTAGCCAATGATTGTATACGCGTCGATAATTCTCTGTAGGTATAAGTACGATGATGATGAATTACCGCTGTACGATTTGCGAATACCATGGCACTTCTTAATAAAAATCTAAGGGGATCTAAAGTGGTCAAGTTGGGAGGTTGATCTGGTTTTCTATACAGGCGTACTAGGGAATATAATTTTTTTAGTCAGCTTCCAGTGATGAAGATAGGTTTTTACGTGAATCTATATAGGATGCTTCATTGCTTGAATCTGGGCTCAAGTGAGCTTTGATGCCCTGTAATCTTGTGTTGGGCAAAGACATAAAAGAGGAAAACAAAAATAAAAGAGAAAAAGAAAAAGATAATGCATACATGATCGATTGGTTACAATTTTTATAGAACTACAGGTGGTATAAATATGGTAATATGTGTTACTTTCTATCATTGACAGTCAGAGTAAGGGTCTAAAATAGTTGTAAGAATGAAACCATATGTCTAGTGTTTGTAAAGAGAAAATGACAACCTTTTTTTCAATGCATGCTCATGTAAATAAACAACAAATATAGAGCAGCTATGGATATCTAGCCGTAAGTTGAAATATTCCCATCCCTTTGCTTATTATAAAATATTAACCTTAAATAGTGTCATTTTTGTCTAGTGAGGCAACGATAGTCATTGCTCTTTAGTGTTTGTACAACCAAGTGTGGGGTGTATACTTTATTTTTTTCACATGAATTAATAAGATTACCCGGTGGAAGCGGGGGAAGGGAGATTAAAAGGGCAAGAACATTAGTAAACAACATCAAATGCAAATGTATCTTAAAATATTAGCCTAAGGTATCCGATAGTTATCTATAAGAGTGTTTATTGCCTCTCCGCTCTGTTGCTTCATCTTGAGCTCGGAATACAAAGCACCTGTCAAGCCAATTATATGTTCTTTGAACTTGGTATGATTGTTGTTGACTGTCCCGTTGCCAAATGTGATTATGGATATCGTCGTTTTATCACTGTGAAAAGTAGAGGGTCATACTGGCTTTTCTTCTCGCTTAATTCATGTATTAGTTTCTTTCTGAATGCTGTAGTCCAAATGCAGCGAGACTTTTATAGATACCGTTATTGTTTGATATGAATTATCTAGCATATTCTTCAATGCTTCTGGGGAGATTCACGCCTCCTTCAGCGATGTGCTTTGCTCCATTATATTTAATTCCAGCTTCACTTGCATCACGTTCGTTTGCATCCTCACGGTAAGCTCTTCTTTCTCAAGCAATCATGAAAGTTGTAGCCATATTTGGCTCTTTTGGTATATAATGTTGATCCTATGGTTCAGCTCTTGCTTTTACGGGGTGTACACTAGCCAAACTGATGACAGACTCATCGCCGCAATATAGAAAGGCGGAATTACTATCTATGTGTATATATACTACTTATTTTTAAGCTTACACTTCGATGTGAATATTTTTAAAGACTATATCAACTGGTAGCCAAATGTGGTTGTTGCACCGTTATTCTTTCTAGACGGTGTTTAATTCTTCTGACCAATGGAGTCCAGATCATGATGCTTAATTATATTGTACTCTCTTTCCTGAGTGCCTGCAGGACGCATTCATGAATCCTTAATTTTATTACAGTTAAAATGATTAATATAATCTTAAAGGTTTTTCTGGAGTCTTTGATATTATATTTATTTTTCTTTGAATTCTTCTCTAGTAAACAACTTTTCATAAACATATGTGTCGAATCATCCAAGTCCGGAATAAACGGACACGATAGATGATGTACCAAGCACTGTTTATTGAAATTATATAATGCACCCCTTCGCGATCGTACCAGTTGGAAAAAGCTCCATTCTTATTTTTCATCCAACTCTTTAAAACTTGTTGCAATCATAGGATGTTTGCAAGATACTATTGTGATACACATTAGAAGCCAATGTGGTGAAATAATACTTGTATACTTCTGAATAGTTACTGTGCAGTTCAATCATAGGGACAAAGAGACCGCGTTTAGTACTTCAAAGTATGATTGACAGCATATATACGGGGTTGTAAAGTTAGCCAAAAATGGATTTAGTTTATCTAACAAGACTTGTTGAACAAAAGCATCCACTTGCAACTTATTTGCTTCGAGGTTTCTGAAGAATGAGAGGTATTAAATTCAAATCGTAAAGCGTTGCAGTTTACTGAATTTCTGTTGATGAACTTTAGCATCAAAATAGTGATATACTTTCTGTATAACTTCTTGAAAAAATGTTGTCAGTTTGCAAAAATATAACAGAAGCACTAGCCAATAAGCATTGGGAATGACGCGTTCTGTTTGAAGAGTTGCGCATTTTGTAGTCATAAAAAGGCATCTTTTTTTCTTTCTTTTTTTTTTTTTTTCTTTACTTTACTCTACAGGTTTTCATTTACTCATTGCCCATTCTCAAAAAGGATGGCTATCAAAGAGCTGTGTAAGTACATCGTTAGTTTACTAGTAAACAAACTGTATATTAATAGTCAATATCCTTGCTATAGACTGTGGTCGAAGGCATAGACATCACCAATAAATTGATTGCGTTCAGGAAGAAGAGTATCTGGGCGACAGAGAATTTAAATAGCTTTAACTCGATGAGATTGCCGTAAGTTAAAATAATTTTATTAGAAACCAATTTGACTGAACTAAACACCATATAGGAGCTTGTCATTTGTGCTCCCTGTCGACAGATGGAACAAGGCTGGATGTATTTCAAGTTATTTGAAGGAAGAATATGAGAATGCCTTACTTAAGCAGGCTGACCAAGGCATTCAGATTCTAAAAGTATCAGACAATGCAATACTTTTCTGCAAGAGGTTGATCGATGTAAGATAAAAAATTGTAAACCCATCTCTGACATTATACCAATAACTTATAAATAGGCAAAAGACAAAAGAAGACGGGTACGTGAAGCCGTCATACATTTGCTTTGTATATGTTTTTCTAAATAAAGCTCTTTTTTATAAACGAGACTTTCTTTGTAGACATGAAGAGAATCTATTGTTGTATACACTTTAAACTATCTTTAAGGTTATGATATGCCACGTTTAATAAAGCAAATTATAGCACTATAGGAAATTTTTTGTCCGAATCTAACAATTTCTTTCAAAAAACTAAATGTTTCTTCGCAAGTCTGAACATTTCTATACAAACCTCAGAATAACTTGTCTTTACATTTTTTTTATCATTACCAACTAGAAATTTTTTTTCTTTCCCACACCAAAAGACACCATATCCCAAGGAAGTCTCCTTCGTGAAGATATACTCAACCGACTCATTTTTACAGTAATTTCAAAACAGAATGAGGTTAAAGATACCATAAGAGCTGCATTTGGTCAAATAGTCGTGTTAATAGAAGAAATGAGGCAGGTGGGGGAGATGAGAATTCTAAAGAAGAATTCGGAGCACTACTTGAGACAAGAAAATACTCTGTTTAAAGCACAAGTTGAGAGCACTTGTACTAGTGTAAATCAAGAAAGATGGCCAATATTCGCAGAACAAGAGAAATTAGCCCATGACTTGTTCGCGAATAATTTTTTTTCTAAGCCCACTTTTGAACATCCGTTTAACAAAGATTCGAGTAGGAAGCGCTAATTCTCACGGGATCTGTATAGAAAGCTTATGAAAGACGTACACGGTAGCTCAATTGATGACAAGACGTTTAATTCTGCTCATGATCACCTTGCTCTGATTAGACTACCGGCTATTATTCGTCGAGTCAGAAGTAAATACAAGGTCGAGACTGGTAAGCCATATTCAAAACATTGGATCCACGAGGAAAGCTTAGAGCCGCTGAGCTTCTTAAAAAGGCAGTGGCTCCCTTTTGCTCTTTTGCGTGCTTGTGTTGTTTCTTAGGGTGCTAGATTGATGCTTCGTTACTTCTGGCTTGTTGGCGAAAAGAAGTCTTCTACTACACCAAGTGTTGAATACGAAGTATCAATTAAGAAGAATAAAGACTAGAATTAACCAGACTAAAAGATATATGTCGATTGACTTTATTAAAGACGAGTATTTATACTAAATGTGAGACACTCTTCAACTGAGATCGTAAAACTTTTCATAGAGGCTTATGAATGACAATTGAGGCAATGAGAGAGTTAGGACGAATCGGGTGTCTTTGATAAGACGATGGTCCCTAATAACAATGATGGATCAGAGTTATTGGATACGCGTACCTTAAAATGTAGTTCCTAGTAATTAGCTTAAATAATGATCCGCACAGTTGTTTCAAAGTAACAAGCTGAAGTCGAATACTTGCCAGTTATTGTTTCATATGTGGTTAATAGTTGATCCACTAAGTATGAACACAACACCAAGCAGTGTACAAGGCAAGTACAAATATTGATTAGTAAAGAAAAAAGCTAATTTGTACATTTAAAAAGATGTAGAAGTAAATAAGGCTGGTGTTTCCGAAGATCCAGACTTGAGTCCTCCGTCCTCGCTTGCCGAGGAAAGTGATAGTAGTGAGGCAAAGTAAGTTCGTAAGATAAAATCAAGATGTCGATCCCATTGATGTGGCTGCTACATATCCCGAGACTACTGGTCGCTACGAAAAGGTAGGCAAGGCAAATAAAGGAAAAGAATATAGAAGCAATGTCAGAAAAGGTACGTCGTAAATAGATGTACTAATAAGCAGAGAAAATTATGCGCAGTAAGCAAATTACCAAATGAAGATAACAAATAAGGCGGATTAAGCCATTATTATTTATATTTATGAAGCTATAACTAATAAATTTCAAAGTATTAACAAGTTTCTATTATGTTTATGCTACTTTATATAATGCATATGGAGTAATAACAGTAGCAAAGGAGTAGGGGGAAATGCTAAACCATGTTTTTTTGGTGAGTAGAAATCTTTAGATAATCGGAAGAAATAATTAGATGGCAATCTAAAGATTTCTAAATTTTTCCGTAAAACAAAGAAACACGAAAAAAAAATCTAAAGATTTCTACTCGATTTTTTATTAAAATTCCTCGCCAAAATTTCCTACAGTGATATGATTATGCTTCGTATGTATTTTCCCATGATTATATTTATTCTTTGCTATATTGCAATCTTTCATAAAACCTTCTCTTTGATCTATAGTTTGTAACTGATACCTCATACCTTCAAATATCATGACTTTTCTAATATATGAATAGATGGAAAAACGACGAAAATACGTTATTTCTATGCAATTTTCTTTTTTTTTTTTTTGTACAAAGGTAGTCTCTGTATTGAGTAATAACCTGTAAAGACTTTATTCAAAGCGCAATTAATTTTCCTTGCCATGTGTTTTAATAAGTGATAGTAACCAGGACAAGATCTTTACAGGAGGATGATACGAAATAAATGGCATAGTATAAATATTGCAGTAACTATGCATTGCAAGTCAATATTATTTATAAATGATACTATTATCAGCTATTCTTGGTCAACCATATACTGGTTCGTACAGAGATAAAATGACCAATTGAGTTTACGAAGCCTTTTTTAAAGCCAATAGAGCACCAGTACTTCATTCCAAGCATAACATAAATGTAATCTGTGGACAATCGACAGAGTTAAACCAACAGTCAATTCTTGGAGTGAGGTCATAGTTGTTAAGGATCCTGCATTCATCATCTTTTCTTATTACACCTATTCTTTATACATCAAGTCTTTATATTTTGCTTAGACGATTTATTACTCTACTTATATACGCTCCGTCTTTGTTCTTGACAAATTGAAAGCATTTAGGTTTTAGTTAGAGCCAATAAGTTGATTTGAAAAGCCAAAAAAATGAGTTCATTGCATGTAGCTACTTTTTTCATCACCAAAGCGAGAGAACCACTAGCCTTTTGGAAACAATTGTCGACACGCGATGACAATGAAAAAAGAGGCCGA